TGAGAGGTGAGAGGTCTTTTACTTACTGAGAGTGTACCATGTGCCAAGCACGCTGTAGGCCCAAAGGACTTGTGTGAAACTCAGTCCCTGCTCTCATAGACCTTACAGTCTAATGGGGAGAGAAGCAATGAACAAAGAAGAAAAGAAAGAAAATATCAGCGGTTGGGGAGTTCTGAGATGAAAATAAAGCAAGAGAATGGCACGGGAGAGCGGAGTGGGGGATGGGCTAAGTGGGATGGTCTGCAAAGGCCATTCTCAGTAAATGAAAGAGGCTGAAAAATGGATATGCTGGGTGTGCTGGTGGCACACACTTGTGATCTCAGCACGAGAGCGGCTGAGGCAGGAGAACCGTCATGAGCTCCAGGCCAGCCTTGGGTACATAGTGAGTTCAAGGCCATCGTGGGGTATGTAGTGCGACTCTGTCTCAAACAAACAAAATAACAACGGAAAAAGTACCAAGCACTAAAAGATCAGAGTGAAGGGAGAGGGACCAGCGGGTGTAAAGGCCCTGGGGGCCCTGGGGTTGGAACTGTTTGGGAGCCTGTTGGAGAGTTCACGGGAAACAGCGAGCATTCCAGGCGGCGAGGAACAGTGTGGGAGAAGACACGGTGTGACAGCTGGGTAGACTGATGGGACCACGGTAGTTGAGAACATGCCAGGGCAGGAAAATTAGGGGGGCAGGTGATGAGATTAGGGAGGTGCATTCGGCCAAGCCCTTGCCTCCAGCACCAGGTAGGGGAGCTCAGACTCTGTTCCAGGGCCCTGGGGAGCCCTGGTCCACCATGAGCAGGGAGGGATGGAGCTGCTGGGGCCAGGGAGGACTCGGACTGCAGGCAAGGTGGAGGCTGGAGGCCAGGCAGGAGGCAGGGTGAGGTCCAGGAGGGCTGTGTGGAAGGCGGGAGGGGACAGGGCTGGGGGACAGAAGGAGGGAGATGGAAAGCTAAAAGTTCAGCCCGGTGACTGGGTGGGCAGTGTGACAGTGAAGCCATCAGGGCAGCCAGAGCCCCCTAGGGGCCTCTTCCAGCAGAAGGGACACCGGAGCTGAGTCTTTGCGACATGACAGAGTTGGTCATGGTAGTGTCAGAGAGAACAGCACCCAGAAATGCCTAGAGGTAGAAAATTTGACATATTCAGGGGACATCGCCTTCAGTGTTGATTCCATCAAAAAGGGTTTTCAGAGCCGAGCGAGGTGGTGCACACCTGTAATTCCAGCACTCAGGAGGCTGAGGCAGGAGGACTGCAAGTACAAGGCCAGCCAAGGCTGCATAGTGACACCCCGTCTTGAACAAATGAACAAACAAGCAAAGCCAGGCATGGTGGCACATGGCTCTTACACTCTGGAAGGCTGAGCCAGGAGGAACAAAAAGTTTGAGCACAGCCTGGGCGACTGACTTAGTGAGATTCTGCTTCAAAATTAAAAACAATTTTTTTTAAAGATTTTTTGGGGGCCGGGGATTTAGCACAGTGGTTCCACCGCCTGCCTCACAAGCGCAAGGTCCTGAGTTTGATCCTGGTACCAAAAAAAAAAAAGAGAGAGAGAGAGATTTGGGTGGGAAACAATTAGAGATGGGGCTTGAGAGGCAGGAGCAGCAGAGCATGCAGGGACTCTTGGTCCTCAGCACTAAGCTAAGGGAGATGGGACTGTGTCCTGAGGACGCTGGGTGTTTCTGAGAAGGTGGAGGAGAAGGAGCAGAGATTTCATTCGCCATCAGGGTCGGGGCACGGAAAGGAGGGCTGCCCACCCAGGTTCCCTCACGGCCCTGCTGTCTCCTGCCCAGGTACTTCATGAACATCACCTGGGATAACCGGGACTACTCCTTCAATGAGGATGGCTTCTTAGTGAACCCCTCCCTGGTGGTCATTTCCCTCACCAGAGACAGGACTTGGGAGGTGGTGAGTCACAGCCCAGACCTCGGGCAGGGGAGAGGTCGGGGTCTTGGATGGTGGGGGTGCGGGGCTGAGAGAGGAGGCTGGGCCAGATCTCCTGCTGAGGGAGTCCTTGACTCGAAGGTCTGAGGGTAGGAGGAGCAGGGAGCCCAGACCTTTCTAGGCAGTGGAAAGGTTTGCCCAACCCGGGTTCCCTTTCCATTACCCAGAAAGTCCGCCCAAGAAGGCTGACCGACCTCCTCTTTGTCCAAGGTGGGCAGCTGGGAGCAGCAGACTCTCCGCCTCAAGTATCCGCTGTGGTCCCGCTATGGCCGCTTCCTGCAGCCCGTGGACGACACGCAGCACCTCACGGTGGCCACGCTGGAGGAGAGACCCTTTGTCATCGTGGAGCCTGCTGACCCCATCAGCGGCACCTGCATCCGAGACTCAGTTCCCTGCCGGAGCCAGCTCAACCGGACCCACAGGTGACAGCCGGGATCCAGGAGTTGCAGCTTCAAAACCCCTCCCGTGAAGCCTGCAGTCTCAGCCCCAGCCCACAAAGGCCTCCAGTTTGGTGACCTAGGAGTGCCTCAGTTTCCCCAGAAAGCGCTAAGCCTCGGCTGTCCCTTCCTCCATACCCTCACGGCATGGGGGAGCCTAAGGGAGGGGTCCCCAAGCTCCCCAAGCCTGGTCGCTCCCCGCAGCCCTCCACCAGACGCCCCCCGCCCGGAAAAGCGGTGCTGCAAGGGCTTCTGCATTGACATTCTGAAGAGACTGGCGCACACCATCGGCTTCAGCTACGACCTCTACCTGGTCACCAACGGCAAACACGGGAAGAAGATTGACGGCGTCTGGAACGGCATGATTGGGGAGGTGAGGCGGGCGGGACGGCGCGCTCTGGGCCTCCGGGGGCGGAGCCGACGGTCGAG